CTGCTGTCTAGCTCCAGACTGTTTTATCACCCCAAGAAGACACCCGTCTCTGTTAGCCATCAATCCTATCAGCGCCTCCCCAGCCACTGATCTGCTTTCCAGGGCTGCAGACCCACCTATTCCAACCCGGTTGTGAGAACACAGTGCTGCAACGTTTGGTCTCTAATGAGCAGCCTCTTCCCTGAGCTTGCTGGTTTCAGCTGTGTTACAGTGTGCATCAGAACTTACTCCCTTTAAAAGATACAAAGAAAGATTTGTGGTTGTTTATTTATTTGAAAGACAGAGTGACCTGAGACAGAGACAGAGATCTTCCATCTGGTGATTTACTCCCCAAATGTCCAGAACGGCTGGGACCTGGCCAGGCTGAAGCCAGGAGCCTGGTACTCCATCCAGGTCTTCCAGATGCATTAACAGGGAGCTGGATCAGCAGCAAAGCAGCTGGGAGTCAAACTGGCTCTCTATTATGGGATGCTAGTGTCACTGGTGGCAGCTTAAGTCACCGCACCACAACGCCAGCCTGAAATTTACTTCCTTTTTCTGACATTGTGTGGCTACCCCACAATTTATCCGATCGTCAGCGGATGGACACTGTTGTTTGTACCTTGGGGCTCTTAGGAGTAGAGCTGCTATGAGTGTTCCTGTGTAGCCTTTGAAGAGTGTGCTGGCTGGCACAGCTGCCTGTCTGGCAGCAGGGGTGTGGGTCAGCACAGATCCTCTCCTTCTTCCTTCTCCTGGCTTTGTCTTTGTCCACTGCAGACCCCCAGAGGCCCTCGTTTTGTAGGGAGTGTGGGCAGCACAAGTTGTGCGTGTCTCTTGGTGTCAGTCTCTGGCTTGAGTTTGAGGAGCAGGGTGGCTGGTTGCAGAGGGTCCCTTGGTGAAGCTTGTGTCAATGCCATGCACACAGGAGGAAGTCCCTGGTGCCAGCAAATTCTATGGAAAGTGTCCCAGGAAAGGGAGCAAGCACCATTCATGCATTTGTTCCCCAAGACGCCAAATTGAGGCTGGAGTCTGTCCCAGGAGGCCTTGGCAGTGCTGCTGTCCTCCATAGCCCTGGCCTTCTTGTTCCCAGGGAAGAAAGCCCTTCGAGGGCACAAGGCTTTGTTCTGTCCCCTTTGTCCCTAGCTTCAGCTGATTTCTGGCCTCCCTCAGGCTTCTGCCAGCCTCAGGCCCAAGAACACACCAGGTGGAAGTTCTCCATCCACCCAGCACCCCAGCCTGGGCCCTCACCAGGCCCTTGGGCCTGTGCACAGTGTCACCATCATGGGAAAGGTGAGATGACACTGATGCTGACACTGGAGATGTTTGTGAGGCTTACTGGATACCAGGCATTCTTTGTTCCTTAAGTGTGTGTTACTCCGTGGGGCCTGATGGAGGCTGCTGTTCTGTCCCTTTTACAGAAGTGGGAGCAGAAGCACATACACGTTGGGTTCTCAACTCCAAGTCGCACAGCCACCTTCCAGTGTAGCTCCAGAGCCCCTGCTGCTGGCTACTGAGATAGTTTCAATTTGTACGTTGTGTCTTGTATCTCCTATGCGTTTTGCGGCATGCATGGGTAGTTGGGCTCCGAAGGCACAGCAGGGGCTTCATCGGAAGCCCTTAGTAGCCTGGTGAGCCCCATGGGGCCACATGGGGACCCAGGGATGAGTGGACAGCTCCCCAGTGCCACTGCCAGTGTGGCAGGGTCTGCACTGGGGACTCGGAGGCTCAGACCGAGGAGGCTGGCACCTCTCAGGCCCCTGTGGTGCCAGAGCTGCAGCCACTCCGTCTGCCCAGCCTCGGAGCCCAAGGTCCTGGCCTGGCCGCCAGCTCGGGAGGGAGCCTGGGCTTCCTGTCCATTGTCTACTTGGGGCACACCCAGTGCGTTCCTGAAGTGACCTGGAGGGGCTGGGAGGGAGGAGAGAGGGAGAGAGCAGGGAAGGGGCCGGCCCGGAGCTCATTCAAGGGGGAGAGGGGAAGCAGAGGTGAAGACTGGGTGTTTTCCTTGTTTGTGTTTTGTATTAAAGAAAACAAATGATATCCTTTGAGAAAACCATTAAACAAAGCACATCCTAAAGCCCTGGAGGCCCATTGTGGCTGCAGGAGCCGGAATCCATTCATGCCTTTCTGGCCAGACTGTTGGAGGCAGGAGAGGTGGGGGTGGGAGGGATAGATGTTGCTAAAATGAATTTTGAAGTGTGTGGCTCCCTCCTTGAACTTCAGTAGGCCACTAGCCTGGGCAGCCAGAGCTCCAGGGTCCCTGTGTCCCCCATGGCTCGCTTTCTGCCTCTCACCCCTCTGGAGAGCTCCCTGGCACTGGCCAGTCCCAACACAGCCAGGGCTGTCCCAGTCCCCATGGCCTTCCCCCTGACCAAGGGGCCCTCCTTGTGGAGCCCCACTTCAGGGCTGGGAGCTCAGGGTCCTCTCTCCTTTGCTGACCTCCCGAGCCTCCTTCTCCCTGCCTGCAAAGTAGCAGCTTGGACCAAGTGGGCTCCCATTGACCAGCTTGTAGCAGACTGCCTCTGCCTCCTCTCTCATTCTGTGTGTCCAGAGCCTGCAGGTGGCATGGAGGTTGCACTCGGGGCCTATACCCAGGTGTCCTAGGCCCAAGCCAGACCACCCTTCCCTCAAGACCCCTGGGCCTAGGTACCCCCTCTTGTACCCTAGGCAGCCCATAACAGAAAGGCAGTGCTGTGCACCACAGCCCCGGCAAAGAACACCTTTCTCTTGGGGTTGGGGGTGGGATGAGAACAGAGCTGGCCAGCAGCCCAGCTGTGGCAGTCATTCTGCCCAGGCCTGACTTGCAGAGCTGGCCCCGTGTTTTAACTACATGTGGGGAGCAATCCGGACTAGACTAAGTTACTCGAATTAGGACTTATTCTATGCATCTGCTCTCCCACAATATGGCGCTGGGAGAGAAGTAAACAGCTTCCGCACAGCTGCCTCCAGTTCAACCAATAAACTGTAGGACTTGCTCCTGATTGGAGAGCAGCGTACTCGGTGTGTGGGCAGCCGAGTTGGGATTGGCGGAGGAGGACTATAAAGGAGGAGAGAGACGGCATGCACCAGGAACATCTATGGGGAACATCTAGCTGAAGGAACACCCGTGCAGCCCCCGAGAAAGCCGGCCGGCGGTGTGCCGCTCCCCTGCGGAAGTGGGGAATGCGGCCAGGGGGAACTGCCCTTCCACGGAGGTGGAAGGGATAGTAGCCAACCCGGGAAGAACCAGCAGCAAACCCGGGGAGGGCCGAGCAGACGAAAGAACAGCGCAGGGTCCTGTGTCGTTCCTCCACGAAGAGGGGGAGCGACACTACAGGGTCTCCCTTAGCTGTGACAGCCATGTACAAATGGTGGCTGTCAGAAGGACAGTGTACGACAGATCATCCCTTGGAACTTTCTTCAGTCCCTCATTTAAATCTTATTTTTATAAACTTTGCATTTATTTTTCACTTTATTAGAAAGCCAGAGGAAGAGAGATAGCTTCCATCCATTGGTTTACTCCCTAAATACCCACAACAGCTACGGCTGGGCCAAGCCAAAACCAGGAGCCAAGAACTCGAGCCAGGTCTCCCACGTGGGTGGCAGAGAACCAACTACTTGAGCCATTTCCTGTTTCCTCCCAGGGTGTGCATTAGCAGGAAGCTAGATCAGAAGTGGAGGAGCCAGAGCTCGAACCAGGCACTCCGAGGTGGGATGCAGGTATCCCAGATGGTGTCTTAACCACTATGTCAGATGCCCTTTCCGTTTTTAAATTTAAAAAGACGTTTAGCGGTTTGCATGTTTTTCTTAACTACTCCCCAGGCAGTATAAGCAAAGAGGATTTGGGATTTGGGGAGCCTGGAACAGGGTCAGGGGCACATGTCCCCTGCAGGAGGCTCAGGGATTGCAGACTTCACCTCCTTGGTCCCCTCCACAGCCCAGAGAAGACAGCTTGAGCAGTCCTGTTGGCTTAGGGTGCTTGAGATTCGAGAAGCGGCTTATGCTCTGGTCAGTGGCCACAGTACCGGCTCCCAGCTCAGTGGCTCCTTCTCTGCAAGACCATGAACCAGCTCATTTGCCCCCACCAACCTGAGCATCCTCATCTGTAATTCGCAGGCTCGGGTATAATGAATGCTAAGGTCTCTTTTGTCTCTACTGGTTTTCAAGGCTGTAATTCCAGGGGCCAGCATTGTACAGTGGGTTTATAAGCCACCACCTGGGACGCCTGCATCACTATCAGAATGCCAGTTGGAGTCCCGGCTGCTCCGCTTCTGATCCAGCTTCCTGCTAATGCTCCTGGGAGAGCAACAGATGATGGCTCAAGGATTTGGCTTCCTGCCACCCACATGGGAACCCTGCATAGAGTTCCTGGCTCCTGGCTCCAGCCTGCTCCATTGCTGCTATTGCAGGCATTTGGGGGACTAAACAAGTAGTTGGAAGAGCCCTCTTTCTCTATTTCTCTGTCTGTCTCTGTCACTCTGCCTTTCAAATTAATAAATCTTTTAAAAAGATTTATTTATCTATTTGAAAGGCAGAGTTACACACAGAGAGAGGGAGAAAGAGAGAAAAGTCTTCCATCTGCTGGTTCATTCCCCAAGTGGCCGCAGTGGCTGGAGCCGGTCCAGTCCAAAACCAGAAGCTTCATCCGGGTCTTCCACATGGGTACAGAGCTCCAAACACTTGGGCCATCTTCCAGTGCTTTCCCAGGTACATTAGCAGGGAGCTAGATGGGAAGTGGAACAGCCGGGACTTGAGCCGGTGCCCATATGGGATGCCGGCTGCAGGCAGCAGCTTCACTGGCTGCACCCCAATGCCGGCTCCCTCAAATTACTAAATCGTCGAGAGGGTGGGGGCTGTAATCCCAGCATTACGAAATTCATTGACTCTAGTGTTTTCCATTCTCTAGTCTGGTTGATGACTGGAGCCTAGTCCCTCCAACCCTGGATTTCCTTCTGTCCTAGATGCCGTTGTAGTTAGCGCAGTTCCGCGCATTCCCTACTGCCTTGCAGATGTCGCTCATGATCTCGCTTCTTCCCCCAACACAGGGCTACCACCCGATGCCCCACGAGGTGGAGATCGCTCACACCAAGAAGCTGTTCCGGAGGCGGAGGAACGATCGGAGGTAGGAGAACCGCGGCGTGAGCGTGGGTTTGCTGTCCCTGCGTCGGCGTCTGCAGCTCCGTCACTTCTGGCTGCGTTCTGCCTTTCTCAGTCACCAGCTGATACCTGTGGGATGAGGCTGGCGGCACCAGTGCCTGTTACCAAGTGGGGATTCCTGCCTGGGCGGCGGTGGCAGCTCCACTTCCCTCGTTGTCCCAGGGACTGAATCCCTTCAGGAATCCGGCTGAGACCTGGCCGTGCCTGCCTCCTCTTCCATGGGGTCAGCAGCCAGACTTTGCAGTTCAGGAGGAGAAATGCCGTCTCCCCCCCTTGACCTCGGCATGGCAACAGCTGTCCCCATAATCACAACTGCCAGTTGCCTGTTTTGAGACATGACCTCCAGGAGGCTCCTGGAGCTCACAAGTCCAAGGGTGCCCGTCTGTCTGCCTCCCTGGTCACTGGGAGCTGTCCCTGGTGTGTGACAGGCGGCACACAGATGAGCAATGGCACGTGCTGCTGACACTGTGCCTGGAAGAGCCCCCTTCAGCTAAGGCAGAAACCAGGCTCTCCCTAAGGGCTCGGAGTCCAGAGTGACCGCAAGGGACCAGGAGAAGTGTGAAGAGGGGGCCCTGGGCAGAAACGAGCGCCTGGGCCTGGCCATCCTGGGAGTGCGTGCACTTACTCTCTAAGAGACTTCCAGACCTGGGCAGATCACCATGCTGTGTCTTAGGTAAAACATTCCAGGTGTAGAACAGCGTTTGTCGTGCGCAGCCATTTGTATCCAGAGGGCGGGGGAAGGGTTGAGTCTATTTTTTGCTTGAATGTGCATACATTAAATTAAATTTCTGGATAGAAATACTAAAAAAAAAAAAAAAAGAACAAAAAAGGCTTATGCCTGAGGAATAAAAATGAGGTGTTCCCCTATAAGGAATTTCTTTTTAAATAAAGGTGCTGGTTTGTGGTTTTACCTTTCACGAACAGAGAAGGGTCTCAGAGAGTCTAGAACAGCCTCTGAGCTGGCTAGCTGCTCCAGAAAACAAGGTGTGCCTGCTCTTCGGGCTGGCCAGCCCCCTCCTTGAGCCCCAGGGTTGTAGTTCACTGACAGGTGTCTGTGCGCCTTCACGCCACCCGCAAGCCCTGGGCAAGCAGCATTAGGAGGTGGCCGCAACTCAGGGTGGTGGAAGACAGGGAGCCCAGGGTGCCTTGTGATCTGCTGGTGGCTTTACTGGGTCTGAAAACATGCACCGGGAACAGCACGTGTCCAGCCAGCCGGGGAAGGGCAGCCCTGGCTTAGGAAGTAGAACCTCCAGGCATCAGAAGGGAAAGTGGAGACGAGAGAGCGGGACCGAGCCCTGTTCCTGCCTGGGCCCGAGCAGGGGTCATGGCACTGTGTGTGCTGCCTTCCTAGTGAGCAGCATGACTGAAGGCGATTCCTGATTTCTGCTGAAGGCAGGAGGAGTGGCGTTTGCAGAGCCTGGGGAGAGGATGAAGAGAACAAAGGATTTGTGTCCCCCAGCCCCCGTGGTCCCTGGTGGCAGCAAAGACTCAGAGTAGGACTCAGAGGTGTGCAGAGTCCCCAAGCTTTCAAATGAGGAGTCACCCACTGACTGCTCTCCAAGCCCTGGAGCCAGCGTCCAGGTCAGCGCACATGTCCGCTCTGGGCCAGGTGGCCTTGCTCCGCAGGAGTCGCCTGGACAGTGGCCGGGCTCCGGAAGGCAGCAGCGTGACCCAGGAATGTAGGAAGAGGCGCCCGCCTGCCATGGGAGGCCTGGGAAGCCGACCTTCCGCTGAGCCCGCTCTCGATAACCAGTGCCTGCGTGAGCTCAGCACACCTCAGAGGATGTGCGCTGGGCCAGCGTCCAAAGCAGGCCATAAAGATGATTAAGGGACGGAAAGTATGTCCTGAGAGGAGGGCTCCAGGGCTGGGGCCAGGGAGTGCAGCCCAGCAGGAAAAGAACAGCCGCACCGTGAAACCCGTGGAAGATTGATATGGAGGCCTGAGGGCGGCTGCCTCGTGTTCCCAGGGCCCCGAACCAGAGGAAGTCAGCCCCAGCACGGGAGCAGAGTTTTTAGCGGCACCAAAGACAGACTGGAGGAGCGCATGTCTGCCCTGGCCACGGCGCTCAGCCGTGCACTGGGCGTGCTGCATGTGCCGGCCGGCACGGCAGCCCCACTCCCACGACACACTACGTGCAGTCCATCACTCACAGCTGAGCGCAGTCATGGAGACCCCAGGCGAGGGGTGGGGGGGCTTTCAGGAGAAGAACAGGCAATTGTACATTTAAGGACCTCACTGGCTAAAAGCAGGGGGCTTCTAAGTGCTTCTTGGGAAATCACGCAACTCGGTCATTCAATGAGTAGCTGGCGAATAGTGCCAGGTTGGCCCCTGACCCAGCTGGCGACTGATGGCAGTGGCCTTGCTGAGTCTTAGACCTTTATATTTGACCTTGATCGTGAACACTTCTGTACAGCGGGTTAACTTTCCTAAGATTGTGGGCTGAACCCCCACGAAGGGGCTTGAGTTCCCCAGGCACACCAGCTGGCCAGGGCAGAGGTGACCAGACTCGGGCATCTGCGCTATGCCTCTGATCTCACCCTCTGTCCCGTGAAGGGAGTGGCCAGCGGAATTGGGATCCCCACGCCTGCAAGAGTCGGTGGCTTCTGTCTTCCTGTGAATGATGGAGGTGGTGTCCGATAGCTACATGTAGCTCCTTAGAGCGTGGGCACGTGGCTGACCCTGGAGTGCGTGACTCCCCACAGCCTGGCACACGTGTTTTCAAATGGGGGCCCCAAATCCTAGTTTTCACAGAAGTCCACATCATATCGCAGCCCTAGCTGGACCGTCTGGGGATTTTGTGTGTACTTGCGGCTTTTGTTTAAGTCTGAGACCAGCAGGGTGCTGAATCAGTCTCATGCCCTGGAATTAGAAGCGGCATACGAGCCTCACCTCCTCAACTCATAACTCTGGGATCTTGCCTAATCACTTTACATCCTGAAAGCTCTATTTCCTCTTCTGTAAAATGGGTCCACTAATTGGAAGGCTTAAATGAGCTGACTCTGTAAATCACCTACAAAAGGGCTTGGAGCCAGCCCGCTCTGCAGGCCAGGGAGGGTAGCTCCAATTCCCCGGGGGTATTTCAAGGTGAGTGTCGTGGGGATGTCCATGGCAAGGGCTGGGCATGCAACCACAGTCCCAATAGCCTTGCCCATGCTCGCCGCAGGGACAGGGCACCAGAGTCCATCATCCCCCCTTCTCTTGGATCCACTTTGAAAGCTCCGCCCCCAGGGTCTCTGAGATGAAAACGGGACAGTTCAAAGGTTTCCTGCTCAAGAATGTCCTCGAGATCTGTGCAGCTGTTTATTCTTGGAAACTAGCAGAGGACACTGGACGGCTTCAGAAGTCACGCACTTTCGTGATGTATATCCTACACGGGTGTGCCTTGCGCCCCCAGAGAGCGACCTGCACAGCAGGACACCTGCTGCTTAGGAGGGGGCTGTGGAGCTTTGTCTCTCTCCCCTCAGAGCTCTCTGCCCCCGACATGTAGACCTCGGTGATTGAAGCCCTGGCTCACGGCCTCTGTTGACCTTGACCTTCCCCTGACCCCAACCTGGCTCCATATACGAGATGAACAAACTGAGGCCATGAGCGCATGCCGTCATCTCTGCTCCCTGGGAAACAGACTCTGAGATGCAAGTTTGAGGCAGGATGAGTCCCTGTTGAAGGAGGGGGAGGGGAGGAGAGGAGAGGATGCAGGGGTGGCAGAGAGAAGTTGTGCAGTGATGCAGCCTTGCCAGGGAGTCCAACCCTACCGGGAGCTCTGAAACTGGAGTGACTTTTTAGAGTTGTCCCAAGATGGAGAAAAGGGACAGGACTTGGGTCCAATGGCTGGGTCCTGGGTCCAGTGGCTATCGGATGGGACTGCCTGGGGAAGAGGGTGTGACTTTGGGTTGGACTGGGCAGTTTGTGAGGGGCGGGGAGTTTCTAGGGAGGGAGTGGGCAGCACAGTGCAGCTCTGGCAAGGTGTGATCCCTGCACCCCAGGCCTGAGGCTTGCACAGCACCTCTCCCACTCCAGAACCAACCAGAACGCCGTGCCTGACTGTCCAGCACCTGCATGTTCACGTGCAGAAGGTTCAGAACAAGGAACCATCAGCAGGGCGGTTCTGGAATGCTTCCTGGAGGAAGCAGGGCTTGAACCACCGAGACACAAGGAGGATTTGGAAGGGAGGAGGGTGGGCATCAGAATGAGGGCAGTGGGGCCGGCACTGTGGCGTAGCAGGTAAAGCCGCCGCCTGCAGTGCCGGCATCCCATGTGGATGCCAGTTCAAGATCTGGCTGCTCCACTTCTGATCCAGCTCTCAGCTATGGCCTGGGAAAGCAGTGGAAGATGGCCCAAGTGTTTGGAGCCCTGCACCCACATGGGAGACCCAGAAGAAGCTCCTGATTCCTGGCTTCAGATTGGCGCAGCTCTGGCCATTGCGGCCATCTGGGGAGTGAACCAGCAGATGGAAGACTTCTCTCTGTCTCTCTGCCTCTGGCTCTTTGTAACTCTGCCTTTCAAATCAATAAATCTTAAAAAAAAATGAGAAGAGTGTGAATGCAGCAGGTGCAAGAACCCACCTTCCCCAGGAGTTGCCCCTGTACAGCTCCCTGGAAACAGGGCCTGCTGGAGCTCACAGAGGCCACAGCCCTCAACTGAACCAAACAGAAAGGAAAGCCGGAGCCTGCTGGCTCCTGACAGTGCCCAGCCCAGGCTGTTAGAAGTCTCAGAAGAGCACGCAGGCTCCAAAGCCCAGCCTCTTAACAGTCAGAGTCAGGAGGCTAATGGAGACATTAGCGATCCATCATATGATGCCTGTGCAGCCAGGGAGACAGGAGAGCAACCCCCAAATTAATTTGTTTCATTAAGTGAAGTCTCAGGACAGTTAATTCACTCCTTGTGCAAAGCTGATTGAAAGGAAGAAGGAGAGAATCCCTTGGCCACCCCAGCTGGTGAGCGAGCCACCCCCTGGGTGGAGTTGG